CAAGGCTATAGAACCTAGTTTGTCGTGGGAAGAGATGGATTCATAACTTCCTCAAGCTTATTTGCGTGTAAGTGAATGTAACAAACCCGAGTGAAATTCGAACTCGGCTCTCCGATTTCTCATTCCAAGCCGTTATCTATTACACCACAACACACATTTATTAGCACCTCCAGTTAACCCTGTTTATTTTAGAAAGTCGCGAGTAGCTAATTTCAAAATTTAGAAGCTTTCTTTGGACAAATTCTCCAGCAGATGGTAAATGTAGTTCAGCCATTGTTTCAGTAAGGAACTTACATTTATATTGACACTCCTCTTTATGTCTGCCGTTGCGGATCACCTGAGCAACGAGGATGTGCTGCGTTGTGGCAAATTTTATTCTGTTTTAACCTTCTGCTGTGGACGGGCGAGGGAGAGTGAGGTGATGCGAGGTGAGGAGGCGAACGATCCAAAGGGCGTAGTCATACCTTTTCGTTTTGGTGTTCAAACGGTCTCTGTCTTCCTGCTAGGGACCACTATCTTATAGATAACCAGACTTCTTTGTCCGGTCAGCTTTAGTCTCAAAATATCATTCATCAAGTTCACTTCACTCAGCTGACCTACTTTGTCAGGTTCGTTTGACATGGTTCGTGTGAGATCAGCTTTCCCCACGTGACCTTCTTTGTCCAAACAATTGCTGTAACATCTTTCATATGTGTTCTTAAGCAAGATATCGGCTGATAACTGATATTGCTACAGATGTTTTAAGGAGAATAGAAACAAAAAGGACACTTAGAACGAGAAAGAGAGAATTAAATTTCTAACGGATGACAAAACAGAGTGCGTATTATAGTAAAAAGAAGAATAAAAAAATGCTAAGAGCGAGAAGGGATAGAAAGTTTGATCATCCATGTCCTAAAGTGACACGGCACATAAAAAAATGAGATTCCCAAAGTAATTTGCCGAGAATACCACAGACAGAACATGTGAGTAACGAGGAAGTTTTAAGGAAAATAGAGAATAAATTTGAAATTAGAATAAGAAAGAGACAGTTTAAATTTCTGTGATCGGATAATGTAGAAAGTGGGTTTGGAGATTCTGACACTCACAGGACATATTGAAAGCAAATGAAGCAGATGGAAGCAGTGCGTAGCCTATTAAATGAGCTTGTGTGACAGAAAAGGTCACGGAAGGGATAGTAATGGAGATAAATATTTCTTAGAACGACGAAGGATAAGAAGCTGTGGAGAGCCATGATAGCCCACGAATTGAAAGGACACGGCACGAAGTAACTGTAGTTCGAGCAGGATCGAATCTAGTCAATTTATACTGTACTTTAAAAGAGACCATTAATAGAAAAGTATAGAAGCTAGATTGATTGATTTGTTTTTTATGGATTATCAACCCTTTGTCGAATCATATTTTGCATTATAATTCTTTATTTTTTTCGAGGGTATAATACATTAACATTTTTTGAGAATAAAAATGATTTTTCTGATATAGGTCCTAATATTTAACCCATAGCTGGGTGGAGAGGCTATTCATATTTTTCCCAAATGATATATACGCGTAAGTGAATGTACTGGACTCGACTGGAATTCGAACTCGGCTCTCCGATTCTATTACACCACCCGCACACTCACCATAGAGGTTGAAAGATTCATTGTAATATTTAAGTGCCATCCAAAAGAGAGCAAAAATGTCGGCACGTCGTCTTTTTTTTTTTTAAATTTAAGGTCACGATATGTGTAACTCGTAAATTACACTTTTAGTCATCCATATATTATTACACTTTTAATCATCCATATATAATCTGGTAGCCTCATATATTGCCGCAGGCGTTAGGCTGTCCTCCTGCAGTCTTCGTGCATGCTTGGGATTCCCAAGTGAGCAGTACCACCCCTAGGGGAAAGACAAGGAAAAGGGGGAAGTAGAGATGGCATTAAAAGCAATTAATAAATTATTACTTTTTTTTATATAAAATTTATATGACCACATCTAATTCACTTACACTTATGGAACACTTACACTTACGGAACACTTACACTTACGGGACACTTACACTTACGGGACACTTACACACAACAAACACGAATTGTTTACAAAAAAACATATTTATATAAACACACTTATGATTTTGCTGTATCTTGATTCTAAAATTAAAAGTATAAATATTTTTATGTTGCTGGCGTTATCTTCACAAAAAAGCGCCAGACCCCAGTCAAATCAGACAGCCAAACCCTTCAGGGTCCAATGGTCTAGGCTTATACGTAGCTACGAATCTTCGTTTGGCGACATTTTATCAAATGACATCTACGAAAAGCCGAAATGTATGCATCCGTTTACAGCGCTAGATTATTTAAAAATAAGTATCACAGATAAAGGTAATATGCATAAGAGATCTAACACGATAAAAGACATGCATATTAATAGGATGCATAAAACCTAAGTATGGAACACTGATATTAAAGAAAGTAAAATACTTCAGAGATGGAACGAATACATCGGCGAACTCTTCTATGATGAAAGAATACAACCGGGCAATACACAGAAATATCGAAGGATCAGAAATATTAAAATCTGAAATAGAACCAGAACTGCCGAATATGAAGAGAAACAAAGCAGCAGGACAAGACGAGATTGTAATAGAGATGCTGGCAACTTTATATGATTTCGGCATTGACGGAAGACCTAATTAGATCTATTATCGTAGCCTGGTGCAAACGAACATGGACTTTATCGGACAATCTGCTTAATGAGCCATATAACAAACCTTATCATCCGAATTCTGATGAATAGAGCAGATCTGAAATAGGACAAGTACAGTGGGGGTTCGTTACAAGAAATCTTTCTTCTTTCATCTATGCGCGTGTTGCTGTGTTCCTTCACTCGAGTACCACCTTTGTCTGTTTGTAACCTCTTTAAGAATACAACAAAATCAAACAAATACAACAATTTAAATATTTGGGAAATGTTTTAACAGAGGACGAAATGTGCGACATTGAAATCCGTAGACGCATTGGGATAACCAAAGATGCCATCCAGAAGCCAAGGAAAGTATTAAGAAACAAAAAAAAAAATCGTTAGAAACAAAGGAAAAATATTGAAATGTTATGTAATATCAGTCTTCCTATACGACAGTGAATTCAGGACAATCCCATCGCAGATGTAGAAGAGACTTGAAGCAACAGAAATGTGGTTCTACAGAAGGATGCTAAGGATATCATGCACTGAACACGTGAGCAACAACGAAGTTTTAAGACACTTATACATAACATCAGAAGGCGATATCTGAAATCTCTAAGACACATAATGAGGAAAGAACACTGGTAAAAAATGGTTGCTAAAGACATTAGGTTTATAATAGCCAGAAATGTATGCACAGATGTCCTCAGGGACACATGGCACAGTGGATAAAAGCCTTAGTTAGATCCAGCGATAGGACCCAAAGAGTGTGAGTTAAATACCTGGTTAAGGCGGTGGAGAGGGGAATTAACAAGAGACTAACTGATAACTGACATCCATTAGACATGGCACGTGGAACTAGAACAGTCTACCCCAGTGAGCGAAATAAAGGGTTCAGTTCGACATTCCAACCACCTGGAGAAGGCCAAGACGTTGTGATAAATATGGCGACAAAGATGAGGACAATAGTCCGAATAATGTAAATAGTGTACATAATACATCATCTCAGAAATATAGACAGATACTGAAGAAAGAGGGTTTAGAAAAACTGATACTTACATGGCATATTGCAGGTAAGAGCGACGGCGAGAAAACAACACATAGCCAACCTAGCTAGCTTGAGTAAATGGATGGCCAAGTAAGGTTTGGGAGAGATGACAAAAAGAGAAAATTTATTAAGAGCTACAAAGCACCAGGAAATTGTGGAGAGCCATGATCGCCATCAAAGACATAGAAGAAGAAGGCGTATATGTAATTTCAAGAAAGATCTATCTAATTATGTTTATGGGAGAGGCGTTACGGGTGTGGCCTGGAAACCAAGTGGTTAGCAACTAGAATAAGTTTTGGTGTCACGTGTTCAGTCTCCGCCGGTGGGACGGATTTTCCGGCATCAATTGTTATCTTCTGCCCTTTGAACCCTGACCACCGCTTTAACGGTGGTAGAGAAAAATGACTTAATGCCCAGCCACCGTTTGAACGGTGGGTAAACACTATTTTTATATCTATCATGAAACATTACATACCAATTATTTGTGAATTTGGTCATAGGAGCTCAGGCAGACGGGTTAAAATTGTTCAGGAACGCAGGACTGAAAGGGTTAATTACTGTTCTTGTTCTCTTTCCTTGATAATGCTTTCTTTTTCTCATATTCTCTCACACACAGTAACCCTCTTGTATCTTAGTGGCTTTATTGTCTTTCCTTGAGTGAAATGTTATTAAAAATAAGCAGGCTACAGTTACTAACTATCTTCCAGTCTCAAATATCGAGAACCAGAATGTCAGTTCATAGCAATTGCAAATTTGTTTTTCAAGCGAACAATATTTTGGTTATTGTTCCTTGCAATCTGGAAGAAATGAATCGGAATTTCCATATTTTCCTGTATACTATTCGTTTACACTTTTCTTCTTTAGTTTTGGTTATAATTCATTCGCTTTCTTCAGGATTCGTTCGTTGCCCTCTCTTCATTCTTATCCTTCTCTTTTCTATAATATTCTTTCATTCATTCATTCATTCATTTTATAATACTTCTTTTGCCCTTTTTTTCATTCGTTTTATTTCTCTTATAATTTTCTTTCTTTCATTTGTTTGTTTGTTTCTTTAATTCTTTGTTTTTCCTTTTTCTTTCTTCCGTTTTCCTTTTTTCGTTGTCTCTCTGTTTCATTTTTTCTTTTTTATTTATGTGTTTCTTTCTTTTCCTTTGTTAGTTTCTTTTTTATTTTTCATTTTCGTTTTTTTTATTTCTTTCTTTTCTTGTCGTATTTTATTTCTTTTTTTTTGTATTTTTCCTTTTGTCTCTTTCTTTTCTTATTTTTCTTTCTTTCTTTCTTTTTCTTTTTTATGTTTCCTTTTGTCTCTTTTCTTATTTTCTTTTTCTTTCTTTCTTTTCTTATTTTCCTTCTGTCTTTTTCTTTTTCTTTCTTTCTTTCTTTTGTATTTTTCCTTTTGTCTCTTTTTCTTATTTTTCCTTTTGTCTATTTCTTTTTTCTTTTTCTTTCTTTCTTTCTTTCTTTCTTTCTTTCTTTCTTTCTTTTTTTGTATTTTTCCTTTTGTCTCTTTCTTTTCTTATTTTTCCTTCTCTTTCTTTCTTTCTTTCTTTCTTTCTTTCTTTCTTTCTTTTGTATTTTTCCTTTTGTCTCTTTCTTTTCGTATTTTTCCTTCCTTTCTTTCTTTCTTTTTATTTCTTCCTTTCTTTTTCTTTCTTTCTTTCTTTTTTTCTTTCTTTCTTTTTCTTTCTTTCTTTTGTATTTTTCCTTTTGTCTCTTTCTTTTCTTATTTTTCCTTCCTTTCTTTCTTTCTTTTTATTTCTTCCTTTCTTTTTCTTTCTTTCTTTCTTTTTTTCTTTCTTTCTTTTTCTTTCTTTCTTTTGTATTTTTCCTTTTGTCTCTTTCTTTTCTTATTTTTCCTTCCTTTCTTTCTTTCTTTTTATTTCTTCCTTTCTTTTTCTTTCTTTCTTTCTTTTTTTCTTTCTTTCTTTTTCTTTCTTTCTTTTGTATTTTTCCTTTTGTCGCTTTCTTTTCTTATTTTTCCTTCTCTTCCTTTCTTTCTTTCTTTCTTTCTTTCTTTCTTTCCCTTTCTAGATGTTTGAATTGCCTTTCTTTTCAAAGAAAGAAATTATTTCAAATATTTTCTCATATCTACTATTTGCCCATCACTCACATCTTTTCATGTACTTCGTATTGGTCATTGATTCTCTTTTTACAAAACACATTATTAGTCTCAACTGTATCATCCAAGACTGATGTTTGGGGGGGGGGTAGTTGGGCACAAAATAACTTCAGCAATTGGTCTTTCTCATGTGGATCAACGAATTAGGTTACTACATATATGACATTTACCACTGAACCAGCAAACATGATTAGTTAAAATAACCACACACACACACACACACACACATATATATATATAATTTATATTTATATATGTATGTAGAATGTGGTTCAAATTTACTGTAATATTATAAAATAAAAAACGCAAATATATAACAACATAATTAAGACAAATGAATGAAAAAAGAAAGCTTAAAATGTATCTGAAAGCTGAAAAATAACTGACATTTGACTTCATACAAGATGCAGTAGATAATAAGAACTCATTTTAAAAGGGTAACTTTATACAAAAATTACCCACTCTGATATTAAATTATGTACAAAGAAGGATACTTATCCTGTAAGAAATGCGATACGACTTTTTTCTAAAAAAGGTAAATATTAATTTTTAGCATTAATTGTAAATGAACACGCTAGTATTCATATTATTTTTACGGCTTATTACCCCTTTGTAAGTTATCTGATGTCGAAACATTTTTCAATGTAAAAAGATTTCCGTCTTTTTGCGAGCGAATATTTCGTTAACAATTTTTTGAGGATAACAATTTTTTTTTTCAGATATAAATTTTTTTTATTTAATCCATAGCTTGGGGAAGGAGATGAATGCATACCATTTGCAAAGGGTATTTTTTGCGAAAGTAAACGCAAGAAATTCGACAGGGGTTTGAAATCGACACTCCTATTTCTTATTTCGAGACGCTATCCATGCTTCCATAGAATTAAAGACTCTAAAAATAGCATTGATCTTACTTTTGTGTAATTGGAATATTTGACACAATAAATGCACCATTTTTAAATTATCATAATTATCAGATTTTCTAATGATTAGCAATAAACTGGTCGCCAAGGATTGAGGAGTTAAAATGACCTCTAAGGATTGTGAAGTAAAAATGGCCTCCAAGGATTGAGGAGAAAAAAATGGCCTCTAAGGATTGAGGAGTAAAAATGGCCTCCAAGGATTGAGGAGTAAAAATGGCCTCTAAGGATTGAGGAGTTAAAATGGCCTCCAAGGATTGAGGAGTAAAAATGGCCTCCAAGGATTGAGGAGTAAAAATGGCCTCTAAGGATTGAGGAGTAAAAATGGCCTCCAAGGATTGAGGAGTAAAAATGGCCTCTAAGGATTGAGGAGTTAAAATGGCTTTTACGGATTGAGGAATAAAATGGCCTCTAAGGATTGAGTAGTAAAAATGGCCTCCATGGATCGATGTGCCGTTAGACCAAATACTACACACTTCTAAGGTTTAAGAAATTTATGAAAGCTATTTCTTCTAAATGTTTTAGGTAGACTTGGAGAATAAAAATATTTGTTCACAAACAGAATAACTTGTTCGTCAAAAGAAATACACTAATGATTAATTTGAGAAAGAAAGCGGGCTTAGACGATTCTTCAATGGATAGACGTCATTGATCAAGTTTACCCGTGACTGTGTAAATCCGTTCATGCCATATACAGCGTTTCTTTTAGATTTCGTATCGACTCATCTTTGATCATAGTAAACATTGACATACTGAATCCAACTAACCGGGTTTGCAGTTAGTGATATGTGGTCTGTCTGACGTATTTCCCGGTCAGATTGGCGGCCGTCTTAAAGTAACTCCATCTCAACTCATGGAAGATGACATTAACGTATCGGAGACAAGTTACCGGAGCTTGCATTAATGCCATATGCACTGTCTCTTTGATCTGGAGTATTTTCCAATGCAGATCACCAGCGTCTGCAGGAATTTCATCTCGGATAGATCGATTGAGCAGAAGAGTTTACCAAATTTCATTTCATGTTTTCTCTTTCTTCTCGCAGTTTACTTTTCACCTTTGAATCGGTCCGCATTTGAGCTGAGATTTTCAAAGCAAGTAAAAGATTTTGATCGTTAGCCGAGATTTTATTCGGAATTCTAAACACGATTTCTTAAAACTTTTGCTGGTAGATTATTCGAATATTTTAATGAAGCGTTCTTAATTAATATTGACTTTTACTAGATTTTTCACCTTAATTTTTGTTGCAGTTAACTTTCATAGTTTCAAAAGTAATATTGTCTTGGATTTTATTAAAGGAACCATTGTCAGCAGTTGACAAGATTTTATTTCATCTATTATTTCTTTAGTTACTTTTTATAGCAACGCTCAGATGGTAATTCTATAAACCTGAAAGATAATAGTAACAATATCAATTAAATGAAAAGTTCTCAGCCCGACCACTACCTAAAATCTGAGGGTTATTTTGCCCTGTAGCTTTACATTGTAATATTTATTTTACTATTGTTTGCTCAATACAAGGACAAAAGTAGATGGATACTGAACGAGGTTGTAGTATGAACCTAAGAGGAGGAGGTAAGAAGTGTAGATTATGAGGATATGTAGAATATAAAACGTCGGATTCGAGACTTGAAAAAAATTAAGATTGTGAGGATCAGGGAAGCATCCCCTCAGTAGTATGTCCGAAATAGTTGTTATTGGGAAGAAAGTTTTCGAATGGAACTTAATTCTTAGCAACCGAATACGAATGGAATGGAGTGACTCGCTCCAGTGTACATGGAATGGTGGTATTTAGGTGTGTATATGTGAACTAGTGAAACTAATGAATGGAGTTAGTCAGGACATTTTCTATGGAAATATCGAGAAGCTTACAACATTACGTCTTCGGTTGCGACGTGGAAAATAATTCATCACCCACAAGGCCGCGTAGATGCTTTTGAACAGTATTAAGGTTGGAAAGAGCATATTAGACAGATATGATAGCAACACTCCATTTTTGGTCTGATCTGACACTCGTAAAGATCGAACATGGTAGAAGGAGTTAGATATTTCCTGGAGAGGTACAAGGAATCGATTATTTTGCGATGGATTGTCTATATCAGTTCAACTTGAGGTGGACTTTTGTCCCAATAAGCATTAAAAGCAAATAGCTTCCTTGAGATTACAATCGTCAAAGTTGATAATGAAATAAAGTTACTCGCTAGCTATTCGTCGTTTAATTATTAAAGGTCAAATGATAATTTGCGGGATCTTTGAGGTTATTTTTTAATTTGTTCCAGATCACTGACTGAACCATGTCAACGGAAGGTTTTTTTTTATATTACAGGCCGCCATTAGCATTTAGACATGAACAAAACTGTCAGGTAAGTGGATGACAAAATATCGATTGGAGTAGAAGCTGATCTCACAATATCGAGAGATACATTTTAAAAAGACTTGGCACTGATGATACGGATATCAAACAACAGTCCATACAATGTCGGCACTTGGATTCTCCAAGCTGAAAACATCAGGAAATGCCATGGCCACAGTTTTTTTTGGATAATGGAGGTATTTTGCTAAGTATCTCTAGAAGAGCCAAAAGTTGGGTTTAAAAAAAGTTAATGTCGAATACAATTCTAACATGCTGTGCCGATTAAAGTTGCTGGAAGAAAAATGGCTAGGAAATTGAGGAAAGGTTGTTCTTTTTCTGGCGGCAATGCAGCTTCTCGGGTCGGGGCTGGGAAGATGACGAATATTCAAAAGATCTGGGGGTTGAATGCATGGACTCTTTTTTATGTTTCCAAACTTTAAAATGGATTTGAAACGGAAATTTATTTTTTCGAAAGATAAGACTGAGAGAATTACTTTTTAAACATATCCCAGTTTACGGCCACAACATTTGTTCTCATCCTATCACCGATGTCGAACTTAGAATCTACATGGGTGACCGCTTGGAAATAACAGGTGCTATAAGCTTGGATATGCAGGTGGTGTAATGGATAATGGCTTGGAATTGTTAATCGGGGAGCCGAGTTCTAATTCCAGTTAGGTTCGTTATATTAACATACGCACAAATACCAATGGGAAATCTATGAATTCACCTCTTCTCCCCACCCCAGCGATGGGTTAATTAGTAATACTTGTCTCACTAAATCATTATTATCTAAAAAAATTCTTAAAATGTAAAAATATTTTCTGGCTTTAAATAATATGCTAAGGGTTGATAAACCGTAGAAAATGAAATAATCAATTAAACATATATTCCATTATTACTACGAATGATGACCTGAACATTTTTCGATCCGAGCCACTTCCCGATATCATTATTTCAATGATCAAACATCAGAATTTCTTTTGAGAAGGTCAAAGAAATTTGCCAGCATTCAATCTGCGAATTGAATATATTGAATCTATACGTCATATCATGAGTCGAAGTTAAAACAATGCAGTTTTTGCGATAAAAAATGCAATAAATATTACAGGAATGCTTTCACAGCTTTTCCTCAATGTGTCGCTGTTGATGAAACATTTTGGCTGTAAACTAATAGCTATCTTGCTTAAGGTATCACTATCTCAGCGTCAGAGTTTTCTTGAATTCAGAGTTGTTACACTATTTACATTATTCGGACTATTGTTCTCATTTCTGTCGTCATATTTATTAGAACGTTTCGGTCGTTGTACGCTCCGGCCTTCTTCAGGTGGTTGGAATGTCGAACTGAACTCTTTATTTCGCTCACTGGTGTAGACTATTCTAGTTCCACGTGCCAAGTCTAATGGATTTCAGTTATCAGTTATCTCCTGCTTAATTCCCTCTCCAAGTTCTCCACCGCCTTAACCGGGTATTGAACTCAAACTCTTTGGGTTCTGTCACTAAATCTAACTAACGCCTTTATCCACTGTGCCATGTGTCCTTGAGGACATACGGCACAGTGGAAAAAAGACATTTCAAACACCTGAAGAAGGCCGGAGCGTACAACGGCCGAAACGCTGTCATAAATATGGCGACAAAGATGAGCACAATAGTCCGAATAATGTAAATAGTGTGCATAATACCTCATCTCAGAAATATAGACAGATACTGAAGGGCTGAAACGTTGTCATAAATATGGTGACAAAGAGGAGGACAATAATCCAAATAATGTAAATAGTGTACATAATACCTCATATCACAAATATAGAGAGATACCGAAGGGCCGAAACGTTGTAATAAATATGGCAACAAAGATGAGGATAATAGTCCGAATAATGTAAATAGTGTACATAATACCTCATCTCAGAAATATAGACAGATTCAGAGTTGTTATTCATTTAGTCTGATTTCCAACCACAGCGAGACCACTATGCCCTGCTATGTAGCCCTTATGTAATGAGATGATTTTATAGCTTTTCCGAGAGTATTTTCGCTTAAGTGAAGTTAATGTACTCGACGTTTTGGTTTCTTATTTCTAGTTGCTATCTATGACACCAATTCCACATCACTTCATGGTGTACCGTTTGTCTTTTATTAGAATTTCATTTGCTTTTTTATCAATCCACCCTTACTGTTATTCTGCAATCAGTATTCGAGAAATATTTAAATTTCTTAAATGAATCACGGGAAATTTCTATTCATTTTTAAACTTCTTTGTCTATCACATTTTGTCACGTTACTGTAGAGTGTTAGACATTTAATTGGAATTTCTTTCATCTTAATTTTAGTTTTTATTTGCTATTCCCAGGTCGCCATTTTACGAAATTAGAAATAATGTCGTTTAAATATTTGGTTAAATTCTGACCCAAAACCATGTTCTCTTTAATCTTTTTTATTTGATTTTTAAATTCATTTTTTATAATCTTTGATCCGAAGCGGTTTATTGCACTACCAGAATAGTACGAAGAACTTTCAAATAAAGATATTAGGTGTATGTAAGAAGTTCCACCGAAAAAAACATTTTTCAACTAACCGTTCAATTTCCAGTTTTTAATAAAAGAGCGCTGAGAATTTTCACACACATTTAATAATTTATTTTTCAATGGAGTATTGAGAGGCGAACTGGTTTCTTCTTTAGTATTAAGGGTTGAAGGGTGGAAAATTATTTATCACCCACAACAACGCGTAAGCGTTTTCGAACTGCGCTTATATTCTTAAGGTCGAGTTACCAAAGAAGAAAATTCATCAGAACAGTTACCATGAAAATACTTATAGAAAAGACACAGGGAAGCTACATTACGGCGGTGGGGAAGTGAATGGCATCGAAATACCAGGTCAAGACCGATAACGTTGCAGATTCTTCTTTGTATTTTATCAAGAATCTCTAAATACATTGTAGAATCTATCTATCTATCTATCTATCTATAGCAGTCTTTTTTTTCTATCTATCTATCTATCTATCTCAATTTTTTTCTTTCTATCTATCTATCTATCTATCTATCTATCTATCTATCTATCTCTTTTCTCTCTATTTATCTATGACAAATTCTGCTCGTTATAAAATTGGTTTTGTTACAAAGAATATGTTAAAGGACAACAGTGAAATTTGATTTAATAAAAATCTAAAAAATAACAAAAAAACAAAACAAAAAAACAAAAAAAAAACGTTTGTCCTGAAGATTCAATTAAAGTATGAACCGATTTTTGGAAGAAATTCTGTAAATTTTTCATTTTTTTAATATTTTTATCGCGATAATTTAAAGTGAACGAGAATTATGAAAGTGAATTCATTTGACTGTATGAGTTGGTACCTTATATTGGCTTGCGGAGCAAAACTCGTTAACCGATTTAAAAAAAATCTATTTTTCCATTAAACATTTCAAGATTAACCCTATCGTAATTGGATAGAATGGTAATAGTAATTGTGAAATTAGCCGTCTTCATACAAGCAACTTTCGGCATTCATTGAACTAAAAGCGTTACTGTTGGTTGAAATCTATAAATTATTTCTCTTTAAACGTTTTTTCAAGAGATTAGATTTCTCAAGCTCATGGACTGTTATGGAGCTTTCATGCACTGCTGGGAGTTTCCTTTTAAACCTTTTGTTCAATTCAATGTGGAAAGTTAACATTTTGATTATATCATTTTTTCCCCATCCTCGTTATATGTGTTACACATTTTTTTTTGCTTCTGTTGCTGTTGGAGGCTTTCAAGTTATGTTAAATTTTTTTTGTTATTTGGTAACGCTCTTTGTTCGTGAATATGTAGCGCCAGCCTATAAGATAGTCTCCTTTAAGACAAATAGGATTTCAATCTATGGTAAAAAATGGAATGAGGAAAAAGTTGTATACAAACATGTTTAGACATATCTCCAAGATTTAGACACCATAATATACGTACAAGAATCTCGGTCTGACGGGGTTATTTATTGGTTGATTGTTTTGTTTTTATTACGGCACATCAACATTAACGCCAGAAAAATTACATTATAAGAATTTAAAAAATGATAATAATTTACTGACAAAAGACCTACTAATTAACCCATAGCTGGGGGAGAAGAGGTGAATTCATAACATTTCTCAAGGGTATTTGCGTGTAAGTGAATATAACGAACCCGATTGGAATTCAAACTCGGCTCTCCGATTTCCGTACAACGGCCGAAACGTTGTAAGAAATATGGCGACAAAGCTAAGGACAATAGTACGAATAATGTAAATTGTGTACATAATACATCATCTCAGAAATATAGACAGATAATAATAATGGGTCGTTTTCTGCCACCTCCTAAAAATCTTTGTCTTTATAAAAACCTATAACTACAAAAATATAACGCTTATTGAATATCTCCTGAAATCAAAAATATAAAACAACACTAAAAAGAATTTGAGCAAAGATCAGAGTAAAACTTCTATGGAAAAAAAAAATTTTGGTATTTTCGGAGGAAATCGCTTGTTGGGTCAAATCTAAGGATATGCTAATGGCAATTGCAATATTGACCTTTTTTTTTAATCATTACCTAAGCTAGGCAATAAAGCCACTAAGATGCGAGAGTGGGGGGTCAGTGAGTGCGAAAGAATAAAGTCCTGAGGCAGTCAGGACGCAGTCTCTGACTATGTGCGACTTCTGTCGAACTCTATGCTTTGGCAGAGAGTAAACCGGACGAGGCTTTGGCGAAGGGCAAAGATTCTTCCGGGGAGGTAGACAGATCCCGAATCCACTTATGCTGGTTCAAAGGGGATATTTTTGGCCGAGCCTACGGGCTCGGAGAAACCCACATTAAACTCGGCTTTGTGTCACATACATTCCTCGTGGGGGGACTGTTAAATATAGAGTGCGAAAGAATAAAAGAAAAGGAAAAAAAATATCAAAGAGCAAATCTAAATAAAAGAACAGGAATTTAGAAGATAATGACTGACATTGCACATATGCATTTTTGAAGGTCAAACTTGTCTGGAAAGGAAAAATCATGTAGAAACGTCCATGAGCGAGACGTGAGAGAGAAGAAACTTTTAACATAGAACTTACGGTCAAATCTAGCGATTTCAAATATAAAATGATGAGAACTTGCTGTCAATCTAGTCTCTTCTTTTCTTATTATTATTTAAGAACCTAGGCGATCATGGCTCTCCCAAATTTTCTTGTACTTTGCAGCTCTTAATACATTTTGTCTTTTTACTATTTCTCCTAAACCATGTTCCGCTATCCATTTACTTAAGCTCACTAAGTATGTTATGTGTTGTTTTTCCACTTTAAACTTTTCTGTGAGTATCAAATTTTTAAGCTCACTTTAAGTAATGTTATGTGTTGTTTTCCTTTGTCCTATCTTGCCTTTAAACTTTACTGTGAGTATCAAATTTTGTCCAGCCCTCTGGCCTCATTATGATATCCTTAATAGTTGTCTTTTCATTGTCTCTTCCTGATGTTAAGTATAAGTTTCCTTTTTTGTTCCCATTTTCTTTAACACTTCGTTGTTGCTCACATAATCGGTTCAAGGTATCCTTAGTATCCTTCTGAAGAACTATATGTCTGCTGCTTCTAGTCTCTTCCTCGTCGATGAGAAGACTGTCCAGTTCTCACTGGCATACAGGAGGACAGATATCTTAATAGTTCAGTACTCTCTTTTCATTGTCTCTTCCTGATGTTAAGTATAAGTTTCCTTTTTGTTCCCATTTTCTTTAACACTTCGTTGTTGCTCACATAATCGGTTCAAGGTATCCTTAGTATCCTTCTGAAGAACTATATGTCTGCTGCTTCTAGTCTCTTCCTCGTCGATGAGAAGACTGTCCAGTTCTCACTGGCATACAGGAGGACAGATATCACTTAATAGTTCAGTACTCTTTTCATTGTCTCTTCCTGATGTTAAGTATAAGTTTCCTTTTGTTCCCATTTTCTTTAACACTTCGTTGTTGCTCACATAATCGGTTCAAGGTATCCTTAGTATCCTTCTGAAGAACTATATGTCTGCTGCTTCTAGTCTCTTCCTCGTCGATGAGAAGACTGTCCAGTTCTCACTGGCATACAGGAGGACAGATATCACTTAATAGTTCAGTACTCTTTTCATTGTCTCTTCCTGATGTTAAGTATAAGTTTCCTTTTTGTTCCCATTTTCTTTAACACTTCGTTGTTGCTCACATAATCGGTTCAAGGTATCCTTAGTATCCTTCTGAAGAACTATATGTCTGCTGCTTCTAGTCTCTTCCTCGTCGATGAGAAGACTGTCCAGTTCTCACTGGCATACAGGAGGACAGATATCACTTAATAGTTCAGTACTCTTTTCATTGTCTCTTCCTGATGTTAAGTATAAGTTTCCTTTTGTTTCCCATTTTCTTTTAACACTTCGTTGTTGCTCACATAATCGGTTCAAGGTATCCTTAGTATCCTTCTGAAGAACTATATGTCTGCTGCTTCTAGTCTCTTCCTCGTCGATGAGAAGACTGTCCAGTTCTCACTGGCATACAGGAGGACAGATATCCTTAATAGTTCAGTACTCTTTTCATTGTCTCTTCCTGATGTTGTATAAGTTTCCTTTTTTTTATTTTCTTTTAAACTTCGTTGTTGCTTTTGTTCACTTTAATCGGTTCAAGGTATCCTTAGTATCCTTCTGAAGAACTATATGTCTGTTGCTTCTAGTCTCTTCCTCGTCGATGAGAAGACTGTCCAGTTCTCACTGGCATACAGGAGGACAGATATCACTTAATAAGTTCAGTACTCGTTTTTCATTGTCTCTTCCTGATGTTAAGTATAAGTTTCCTTTTTGTTCCCATTTTCTTTAACACTTCGTTGTTGCTCACATAATCGGTTCAAGGTATCCTTAGTATCCTTCTGAAGAACTATATGTCTGCTGCTTCTAGTCTCTTCCTCGTCGATGAGAAGACTGTCCAGTTCTCACTGGCATACAGGAGGACAGATATCACTTAATAGTTCAGTACTCTTTTTCATTGTCTCTTCCTGATGTTAAGTATAAGTTTCCTTTTTTGTTCCCATTTTCTTTAACACTTCGTTGTTGCTCACATAATCGGTTCAAGGTATCCTTAGTATCCTTCTGAAGAACTATATGTCTGCTGCTTCTAGTCTCTTCCTCGTCGATGAGAAGACTGTCCAGTTCTCACTGGCATACAGGAGGACAGATATCACTTAATAGTTCAGTACTCTTTTCATTGTCTCTTCCTGATGTTAAGTATAAGTTTCCTTTTTGTTCCCATTTTCTTTAACACTTCGTTGTTGCTCACTCCATAATCGGTTCAAGGTATCCTTAGTATCCTTCTGAAGAACTATATGTCTGCTGCTTCTAGTCTCTTCCTCGTCGATGAGAAGACTGTCCAGTTCTCACTGGCATACAGGAGGACAGATATCACTTAATAGTTCAGTACTCTTTTCATTGTCTCTTCCTGATGTTAAGTATAAGTTTCCTTTTTGTTCCCATTTTCTTTAACACTTCGTTGTTGCTCACATAATCGGTTCAAGGTATCCTTTGTTATCCTTCTGAAGAACTATATGTCTGCTGCTTCTAGTCTCTTCCTCGTCGATGAGAAGACTGTCCAGTTCTCACTGGCATACAGGAGGACAGATATCACTTAATAGTTCAGTACTCTTTTCATTGTCTCTTCCTGATGTTAAGTATAAGTTTCCTTTTTGTTCCCATTTTCTTTAACACTTCGTTGTTGCTCACATAATCGGTTCAAGGTATCCTTAGTATCCTTCTGAAGAACTATATGTCTGCTGCTTCTAGTCTCTTCCTCGTCGATGAGAAGACTGTCCAGTTCTCACTGGCATACAGGAGGACAGATATCACTTAATAGTTCAGTACTCTTTTCATTGTCTCTTCCTGATGTTAAGTATAAGTTTCCTTTTTTGTTCCCATTTTCTTTAACACTTCGTTGTTGCTCACATAATCGGTTCAAGGTATCCTTAGTATCCTTCTGAAGAACTATATGTCTGCTGCTTCTAGTCTCTTCCTCGTCGATGAGAAGACTGTCCAGTTCTCACTGGCATACAGGAGGACAGATATCACTTAATAGTTCAGTACTCTTTTCATTGTCTCTTCCTGATGTTAAGTATAAG